TGCCATTTAGGGCATGCGGTGCATTGAATATGAAGTATTAGTGAGTTTTGATGCCATGCATGGATCTTTGGGTCAAAAACCCTCATTTTGACATAATAAAGGTTGAAGACATGCATTGGGCATGCATGTCTATAATTTAAGGGTTTTTATGTTGTTATAAGATGATAGAAACGTTTATGGAAGTGGGGATCTTTGAGTCTTCAAGAGAAAGTGCTTAATGGGTTGAGCCAAGTCATGTTTTTTCCCTATTTAGACCTGGAAATGAGATATCTATCTCTTAGAGGGTCTAAAGGGGTAAAGTTGGAAACATTATCCAGTTGGACCTTATAATGGACCGGATATGAGCTTTGGACCTCTTGAAGTTGGGGAAAATGACTTAATGGTTTAAGCTGTCCAGACCAGTCTCCATGGCATAACTTAGGTTTCCAAGACATGGCGACTGGTCGAGGCCCGTTTGTTTTGTTGTTTAGTAGCCACTACGTGGCCAAGGATGGTCACAACATGGCGACCAACTGATGTTGACTTTGACATTGACCATTGACTTTGACCAAGTTTGACTTTAGGTCATTTAAGGTATTTTGAGTCGTAGATTAAAGTTTGAGTCCCTGTTATTATATAGGTGATCATAAGAGGTAGTATTTGGAGCATTAAATTGTTCAGCTATCAATTTAGATTGTGAGGTGAGTTCCTTATTGTACTTGTGGGTTGAAGACACCAATGCCGACCCAGTGTTATTCTGGTTTAGAATGTTGATATGTTGTAGTGATTTGTTACGATTTGTATGATTATTTGTTTATTGTTTTATGTTTTATCTATTGCATATGTCAATATAGTGCGGTTTAGGTTGAGGCTTCACTACTATGTGCGTAAGCCAACAGACCCGGGCATTCGAGCCCCATAATAGATTAGGCCGAGGCAATCCAGTCCGATGATTGTGGGTCGGTGGTAATCCAATCTGATGGTTGTGGACCCGAGGGTAATCTGGTCCGATGACTATGGACCTAACATGCATGTTTGTATATGATCTGTTATGTAGGGTATTTTGGGGAGACTCACTAAGTTTGGGCTTACAATTTATGTGTTATTTCAAATACTTTAGAGCATCGGGGAAAAGCAAAGGCATGATTGTGTACATCCTCTAGTTTTTATGAGATTTGATTTTGGGGACACTTTGCTTTGCCAGTAAATTGTTATTCTGGTTTAGAATGTTGATATATTGTAGTGATCTGTTAAGATCTGTATGATTATTTGTTTATTGTTTTATGTTTTATTTTTTGCATGTGTCAATATAGTGCGGTTTGGGTTGAGGCTTCACTACTATGTGCTTAAGCCAACAGACCGGGGCACTCCAGTCCGATGACAACTTCGGCTGAGGCAATCCAATATGATGATTGTAGGTCGGGGGTAATCTAGTCTCATGGTTGTGGACTCGAGGGCAATCCAGTCCGATGACTATGGACCCAACATGTATGTTTGTATATGATCTGTTATATGGGGTATTTTGGGGAGACTCACTAAGTTTGGGCTTACAGCTTATGGGTTATTTCATATACTTTAGAGGATCGGGGCAAAACAAATGCATGATTGTGCACATCCTCTAGTTTTTATGAGATTTGATTTTGAGGACACTTTGATTTATGATTTTGACTTTTGGAAACTAATTTTTGTAAACATTTATGGTTTGTGGGTTGATTTTGAAAAATGAAAATTTTACCTTGATTTTTGGGATGTTAAATTTTCATTCCGACTATGCGTGTGTATTTTTTCGTTCGAACAGATATAGTTTGAATGAAAAATTAACATGTGTATAGTCAAAATGGAAAAAGAATACATTGATAGTCAAAACAAAAAAATAACACAAAAATAGTATGTAAAAAAGTAACAAATGGATAGTCCGAACGAAAAAATAACATGAAATAATCCGATCGAAAAAAAACAAGGCAAAGATAGTAAGAACGAAAACAATAACATGAGGCTAATTTGAAAAAAAATAATACATGGATATTTCAAATAAAAATAATAATACAATACTGAATGGAACACATAACACAACCAAATCTTGAACAAAAAAAATAATAATATGTATGCCATTTAGAGTCAATGGTTTGCCACTTTTGACACACAATAAGATTTTTTTTTTAACTTAAACTAAAAATAATTTATATAAAAATAATTAATGTAAAAAAAATAATTTATATAAAAATAAATTCTTTTTATTAATTTGAAAAAGAAAATCACAAAAACAACCATTAGAAAATAAAATATAGATAATAAAAACACGAAACACGACATATAAAAACAAAACCTACATATTATATTTTTTAATCTTGTATTTGGCATTTAAAGTCATTTTTTTCGCGTACTATATAGTGATTAATATCTTTCATTAAGATTGTCATGACATTAGCTTTTTCCTTCTCTTTTGCAACATTCAAATAGTGTTTCAAAGTAGTTTTTAAGTTGTTCATTCTGATCGTAATTTTTTTTATATCACTCGAACTACTTGCGACCTCTTTACCCTTTCTATTTGGCCTCTTCCCATGGGATGACTAGGTCTTAGAACCTCAACATGCTCATCTTTGTTTAGGTCAAACTCGACATGCGTATCTGATGATTGACTATGAATGATTTAGGATGTTTTGGTTCTTTTAGAACCACTCGTGAACGATTATGAAGTTTAGATATTTTTTTCACTTTTTGGACTCCTTCACAATATTCTAAAAATCAAGAAATTTTAAAGTTTCCCCCTTAGTAAAGTGCTAGAGCTTTCTGCAATACTGTTTAATCGTTCGCACCACTTTGTCAGTTGTGTTTCACGCTCACAAATATAGCGTCAAAGTCAATGAAAACTTTGTTTGTATTCCACCACTTTGAGTAAATTTGATTTTTTTGGGTAGTGTCCAAGCTTCATTTCTGATATAAAATGTCTTGTATCCTTCCGGTAAAATGTTGTCACATCCTGGTTGTTCTCGACTTTTGGGTCTTCTTAGACATTAACTCATGCACATGTCAATGCCTTCTCTTCCTCTGATGTCAAACTCTTATAATGTGTATTTCCTTTTTTCTTAAGTTCGGGTTGAGGTTGAACATCTTCGGTCTCAAAATCTATTTCGGGTACACTTTGGGGTTTAGATTGGAATTTGCTTTGCGGAATATTCTCAAATTGGGATTGTGATTGAAATTGAAATTGGAGTTAGGATTGTGATTGGAATCGGGGTTGGGATTGAGATTAGAATTGGGGTTGGGATTGAAATACGGGTTGAGATTAAGATTGAATAAGATATGGATTGTAGTATGTACCATCACCGGGATAATGGAAATGAGTATGTGAATAAATAGGACCATCCATTTGATTTTGGAAGAAGATATGTGATGAAGGGTTTGAAGTTGTATTTTGGGTATTTTCTTGTTTTTTTTTGGAGTTTTTTTGGTTGGATAGAGATTTGGAGGAAGCTATTTTTCACAAAATAAGAAGAGTGTTTGGGTGAAAATTAAAGAAGTTGTGTGTTAGAAAAATAGATAGTTGTTTGTGTTTATAATGGTTGAAAAAAGAGTTAAAAGTTTGAAATTTTTATGAAAAAAAAAAACGAATATATTTTTGAATTTTTGAAAAGTTGGATTTTCTCTCTCATCGAATAGTCGTTGCCGAGTTGGGTTTCCAAACTCGACATGCCGAGTTCGTGGCACAGTGTTTGCCGAATACATCTCAACATTGCTGAGCCACTCCTCACAGGCTAAAACCGAAATTAAATTAATTTCTGGTTTTAGTACGCGAGAAAACTAAACCGTCTAATTTTTTTTTTGGATATTTTTATAAAGGATGTAAGATAAGTGTTTAACAAAAGAATAATACAATAACCATATTACATTTTTAAATAAATACATTTTTAATATGGTAGGGTGCAACCATCAATGAAAGTGGAAAAGTTTTTGTGAAACCAATTATGTTCGGATCAATTCAAATTAAATTGTAGAATTTTATGTTTGAGTTGGAATATTTGTTTAGTTTTGATTTATGTGTAGTTAACATTTAATTTTGATTTGTGTTTAATTATCTTTTTTTATAATTATTAACGAGGTTGTTTCAATTATTTTATATTACCGAAACAATGAAACTTCAACAAAAAATAATACAAAAGAATATTTTTATCATTCAATACAATAATTCAACCAAATAACCTTTTAAAAATCCATTCTTTTAAAAATTCAAACATTTTAAAAATCAAGATCTAAAAAATTTAGATTTTGCTAAACATTCTCTCAATCAATTAAACTTATATATAAAACTATCATTTTAATTACTTCCAATCGATTTTATGTGAAAAGTTGAACCCAATATAAAAACATGTTTGTATAAATATCAAAACCAAGTCGTCAATTGTTTATAAGGGTTTGAATTAAGGATGTCAACGAGACTAAGCGGGAGCGGAAATACTTGTCCCCGCCCCCAAAATCAGTTGTTGCTCCCGTCCCGGGTGAAAAAATCAAAGAACTGTGAAAAAAATCAAACCCAATACATAAACAATAAATCTAAAACAAGAATTTGTTCATAGTGAAAGAATCAAACCCAAAATACAAACAATAGATCAAAACTCAGTTGAATTCAACATAAATCATTGACTATTTGACAGAAATCGATATATGAAAACTTCAAAGAAGAAGACTAGAAGAGGAGAACTCAGAAATCAAGCTAACCTATTCGTGTAATCGTGTTTGAATTGTGGAGACTGGAGAGACGAAGTCGCTCGTTGGACGTTGAAGATGGCGTCAGTTGATTAAGACCGGCAGAAGTGGACCAACGGAAGTGGGCACTTCGATTGTGTCGATAGGGTGTATGAAGATGTCTGAGATGTTTGATTTCAACGATGACTCAGCGTCACATGCGGCCGGTGAGGCGGTGACTATGTTGTCGTCTCGTCGACAATGCTGATGACGGGTTTGGCAGATTGGGATTGTCGCGTCTTGACCTTTTTGGATGGGAGTGTGAAGTCGTCGACTCGTCATATTCGTTTCACAGTGAAGTGAACACTGAAGAAGGAAACAGGAGAGTCAAATTGAAAACAGGAAAGTGAAACCTAACATAAACCTAAAATTAGAAAATCTATTTTGTATATGTATTTTATATTAAATATATAAATATTTACATAAATGTACAACCGAGGCCCCTGCGAGAGTACGGGACGGAAATACCGACTCCCAACCCGGTCCCGAAAATAAACATGGTTTAATTTTTCCCCCGCCCCGGCTCCCCCACCCGTTTTTTAAAAATTTTTAGTCCCATACGGTATCGGGGTCCCATGGGGGTTTTTTACATCCCTAGTTTGAATTTCCAACTATGATTTTTTTTTTTTTAAGTTTTAGGATAATATTCGGTAAAAATATATGGTAGCAAGTAACGGTTAGTTGGTAACTGATAGTGTTTTGTTAGGCGCTACGTGAGATAGATTTTAGATTTTAGATTTGGAGCATTTTGTTTAAACTAAACGTTAAAAATTTATAGTGTCAAACAATACATTTTTAAACGGAATATTTTATAAAACAATATAAAATAAGAAATTAAATTACCTCCTACCTTTTATTCCTACCCACTAAAATTATGACAAATCACCATTCAATTTAATTGTATTTGATATATTTCTAATATAGTCTTAATGATATATTTTAAAAAATATGGAAATATAACACTTTTTATAATTTTATTGGATAAGAACATTTGTAAGCATTTCTCCTATAAAATTGAATCTCTCTCAAACGCTTGTGTAAGAGACCATCTAATTTCGACTTTTCAACACATCCATCTTAAAATGGGTTGGTTATGTCTATCCAAACAATTTTTATCCACTTTTCAATATATTACTTTAGTTACAAAAGGACTAATAACAATATAAGTTATTTAAACAATCTAAATTTTTTTAAGCATTTTAATACATTCTTAGCGACTTCTCGAGGTTGAAATAGTTGCCCCGTTTGATCAAGTTTCAATTTTAACCAAGACTTAAATTTACAATTCTTAGAAAAATTACAAGATCACTTTTTGCAATCTTTTAATTTTATTTTAACACTGATATTTTAATTTTATTTTTCCAAAATCACACAGAATTATAAACTATGACGTTCTTTCTTGTACTTAATCCCATCTCATCTACACCCCACCCCAATTTTTATATAAACCAACTTTACATAGAGTTAAAATACATAATGCATTCAATACCCAATGCCAGTCCATCCCCATCACCAATGATGTGACATAAAAGTCAAAATGTCAAGAATGTGATATAAAAGTCAAAATCAACACTACTGTTGTGTTATGAGTTATGACAAAACATATTTTTGACTAAATAAGCACCCATAATTGACAACACATTCATTACAATCAAGAAAAGTTTGGATTTTTTTTTTTTGCCATCTTTCAATAATAAATGGGGGTGACATCCAATTCAATGTTTCCAAATTCAGATCCATACCCCACTCATCCCACCACTGCACCCCCACCCCAACAAACCTTTGCCATATTTAGCAAGATCCCACAAATTAATTTTAATAACAATTCCACCATCAAAGCACTTTCATCCTTCAAATTAATCCAACATTCAACAATGGTGACTTTGTTTTTACCCCATATCACTGACCCAAATTACTACTAAACTAATCTAGTCAAACAAAGAAGAAACCAAAGAACAAAAACTACCATCCAGACGAATTTTAACAAAAAAAAAAAAAAAAAACCCACAAGACCACTTGACCCTTTCTTTTGAAGGATTGTAAACCCCATAATTTTAGCTCCAAAATATCCCTTAAACCCATTAAAATATATACAGAATATTTTTCAGGCGTTTGCAGATTGAGAAGGTAACCTTGGGTGATTATGTTCCCCTTCATAGGTGACTATGAGCATTGTTGAATCTTCCAAGCACCTTTCCACATGTTTTCTTGCTGGACAACCTCTCATACTGCTACACTTATAATAACCCCTGTTCACAACCATGAAAAAATAATCATTACCCATTTCAAAAACGCAAAAACCCATTTCAAAAACAGCAAAAAAGATTCATTTTAATTTACAAAATTTTTTTTTTTTTTTTTGAATCTTTTTAGAATCCAAGTAACCTGGGATGAGGAGAACCCTTGATGGGCTTCTGTCCGTACTTCCTCCAAGAATACTCATCGGGGGGAATATCTGCAAGCTTGTTACTAATGGCAGGTACTTTGATTGACCTCTTAATCCTATGTTTTCTGGTCAACAAAACAAAGTTAGACAAATTAGACCCCATAATAAAAACAAATCCACTTTCATAACTATGAAGCTATTAACCTCTTTTTGGAGCAATGACATCTACCAGAACTTCCACATTTCACACTCCCATCATCTCCCCTGACCGAACACCGCCTTTTGTGTTGATACGAGGCTTGGTCAGCTGACCGGGTTGACCCGATCAACCGAAAAGAGCTTCCATCCAAATTAGCAACACTCCCTTCAATACTCAATGACGACATAAAAGATCTATTGGATGACATTGTAGGAGTGCAAGTTGAGCTGTCAAAATTCAAGCTAATCCCGCTGTTACTACGCCGATACATCATTTCAGCTTGTTGTTTGAGCTTTTGTTGTTGAAGGAAATGGTAATTAGAAGACGGGTGAGGGGTATTTTGGGAAACTTGAATGGAACACTTACCATTTGAGTTTAATTCGAGTGATGGGTGATGATGGTTAGCTAAAGAAAGAGTGCTCTTAACAACATTTGAACCAACTTCTTGAATTGGGTGCGAATCTAAAAGAAGTTGAAGGGGTTTTGGTGGATGATGGTGGGTTGTTATGGTGGTGGGGGTGTCTAGGAGTATGTTTTGGGGTACAGGGGTTGAAATTTTCTTGACCATTCTAACCCTAGCATGACCTAGACCATTATCGAGTAAAGATACAACTTTGTTGAACCTAACAACTGCATCCCCTGTTTGCATCATTAAGTTTTTGTACTGAACTTGATCTTGTGGCTGAGCCAAAAGGCTGAGGATTTTATGGCAACTCTCAACAGCAGCTCTATTAGCAGCTTCAACCTCTTCCATATCTTCCCTCAAAATCAAAAATCCAAGAAACTCAACTACTAATGTAAAACACTAAAAACCCATAACAGAACTGCAAATTTAACAGATCATAAGTCATAAAAGGGTTAAAAGGAGTTTTTTTTTTTTTTTTTTTTTTTTTTTTGAAAGTTGAAATTTAAACTACTTGCCTTCTTTTTTCTGTGATTAAGGGTGAATTAGGGCGAAGCTGTTAGTAAGACAACGAAAAATGAAGAAAACCCAGATAGAAACAAGGTTACAAACGATTCCTTTCAAGAAAACACGAAAAGTAATGTTATAATCTTGGCAAAGAACAGACCTTTTCCAAGAGGATTGTAAAAACCCTAGAACAAGATTCTTTAAATCACCATATGGGGTTGTGGGATTAAGAGAAATAGGTGTGAAAGAGAAGACTTTTGTTGCTTCACGCAGAGAATTCACACACCCAAAAGAAAGAAAAATGCCATGTTATTATTTTAAAATCTCTAATTTTCTAGAGAGAGAGAGAGAGAGAGAGAGAGAGAGAGAGAGAGAGGGGAACTGCTGTAGTAAAGACGAGAGAGAGGGGGTTTGAGAAAAATGATTAAGGATTAAATAAAGAACAAATAGAGTAGCATATAGAAAACAACTGCCGTCTGTATCACATACTTCAAAAGTGGGTCCATTGCGAATTGAAGAATATATATATATTCCTATATTTTATTTTTTATTTATCCTTCAAAAGTGGGTCCATTGCAAATTGAAGAATATATATATATATAGGTTCAGGTTCATTTAAAACCATTATAATTTTATTAGACCGTAAGATCAAATCTAAAAATAATTTTAAACTACAAAATAAATGAAAAAATCCAAAAAAAATTTTTTTAAATATTATTTTTGGAACTTGAATTAACTAAAACAAATTTTAAAAAAAATTCCGTTCTTTTTTTAAAATACGTAAACTATTCTAATAGAATATTACACTAACATATTCTAAAAAATAATTTTAAAATGCAAAATAAATGGAAAAATCTAAATTTTTTTTTAAATATTATTTTTGGAACTTGAATTAACTAAAAAAATAAAAATAAAATAAAATAAAACTCCATTTTTTTTAAAATACGTGAAATATTCTAATAGAATATTACACTGTACAAATTTTAAAAAATAATTTTAAAATGCAAAATAAATGGAAAAATCCAAAAATTCTTTTTTTAAATATTATTTTCAGAACTTGAATTAACTAAAAAAAATAAAAAAATTAAAAAAATGTGTCTCACGGTCTTACAAAATTAAACCGTCTCACATGAACCTAACCCTATATATATATATATATATATATATATATATATATATATATATATATATATATATATATATATATATATATGTTGGTCTCTTGAGAATAAAAAAAATTAGAGATTGTGAACCGTTTGATTTGCTTATGTTTGTTTCTGAAGCTATGCGGTGACATATTTGTAATTATGTTGGTAACTTATTAAACTAACGCTATTAATTTACGATTGTGGGGCTATTGTTCTAATTTTACAAAGATTGATATGAATTTTGCAGGCTACGATATTGTAATATTGTTTTCTTTTCTTTCTCGATCAAAGTCTCAATTCGAACTCTCAGGAAACCCTTTTTTTTCTTTCTTTATCTCATTTTGCCCTAATTTTCGTTTCTTACATGTTATTCAGAAATCAGTAAATATCTTCAGGAGAAAATATAAACGAAGTTGCATCTTCCTTAATCGAAATGAAAGGTTAGAATGCGAGTTATTTTTCATTTTATTGATAATGTATGTTTTTATTAATTAGTAAACTGTCGTTTTATGTTGATAATGGTGTTTTTTGTTTTGATTCAATAGGTTTTTGTTAGTGCTAATATGTTGTAATAAGTCGAAGAGTCAGTTTGCATGTTACGAAGAATCTTGTGTCTTCATATGTATGGGTCTTCGTATATATAGTTATTTTACTAAGGCGTTATAAAGTGAAGGCTTAACGTTTAGTCCATAGTATTTTTGTTATGCTTTTATTCTCTTATAAATAGGGGTATATACTAGTGATCTAAGGATGACTTTAACATACAGTTTTACAGTTTATTCATTGTATTCTGTAAACTGAAAGGCATAATATGAGCTGATCAAAGATTCTATTTACTCTCGTGTTCATCGTTTCAATACTTTACTCAATTACTTCTAGAATTACATTAAAACTCGATTCCAAATCTCATCAGTTTTTCATCATTTTAACTTGATTTTGATGATTGTCTCGTTTAGAGTTGATATGTTTTTATTATGTTTGTTTGTGGTGGTTTTTGATGTAAGTTTTTGTTTATATTTTCACAGATAAAGATTTCAAAAGAAACTATGTTCGAAAAAAATTCAAAAATCAGAAAAACATCGAATGCGGTAGAAGTGTTGTTATTTCCGAAGGTACAGTTCAAAAAAAATCATCTATGATTAGAAGTAGAAATAAACATATAACTTAATGTTTGAAGTTATTTGTTGTAATCATAACTGATTTTTTTTTAATTTTTTCAGTGTATTGAACATAAGATCTAGTTATATGTTTATTTTTACTTCTAATCATAGATGATTTTATACGTTTGTTTATAATCATTGGTAACTAGTAATGATAAATGTATTTTTATGTATCAAACATGAATATAAAGTTATTTTTGTAATCATAACTGATTTTGTGGTTCTTGTAAGTGGATTGTATATAACATTTAACTTGTATTTTTATTTGTTGTTCCGTTTATAATCATTAGTGAATAGTAATGATAAATATATGTTTTATTTTTTACTAACACAATTTTTGTAATGAAAATTGTATTTAAAAAAGGGAATGTAGATAGCTCAAGGAAGACACGGTCATCTTCCAAAAAAGAGAAGGCGAATGAGGTGTCGCAAACGCATTCAAAGACATCCAAAAAAAACAGTTATTGAACAACCAAAAGTGAAGCTGAGGGTTAATGTCAAAACTGTAAGTAAGAAACGTGAACTATCTGATGAAGATGATTCAGATTTTTAGAGTCATCCTGGATCTTCAAAGAAACCAAAGAGAGAAACTAAAGTTTTGAAGAAAGATAAAAAACTTGTTGTTGTTAAAGAATTTCCTTCATTTAAGAATAGATGTTCACCCGGGTAATTGTTGGGTGTTATTCAAGGTTTAAGTAGAGAACAGAAGGATTGTGTTAGGGCTATGGGATTTGGGAGTTTGTTAGGGATGGAGATGATTGATATACCGTTGAAGATTGTTTATTATGTTCTTGATCATTTTAATTTTGAATCTTTGAAGGTGGAGTTTGATAATTGTGAAGTTAGTGTTGATAGTAAGTCTGTTCAAGAGATGTTAGGATTACCATCTGGTGGCTCATTACTTTCAAACATGGATTACATTTCGGAGAATAATGAAAAGAGTTGTATGTTTGAGTGGAAGAAACAATTTGAAAGTATTGATAAATTGAGATTGAAACAGCTAAAGAATGAACTTGTTCAAACTAGTGCTGCTGATGACAACTTCAGAATCATTTTTTGGTTCTTTTTATTAATACTTTCTGTGAGTCTACAAGCATGGCTAAATGTAATCTGAATCCATTGTATTTAATCAGAAGAGATACTGATTTAAGTAGCATTGACTGGTGCGATTACATTGTGGGTTGTTTGGTAAGGACGAAGAAGGTTTACAATCCAGAGAACGAATCTTTTTTCTTTTATGGACCAGCAGCATACCTTATGGTACGTGAGTTATTTTTTGATATTTATTATTCTTGTTAGTTGTAAAAATATGTTTGTTTTCATAATAAATCATATATGATTTTATTACATATAATCATATATGATTATGTAGTATAATTTTTGTTTAAATATATATATATATATATATATATATATATATATATATATATATATATATATATATATATATATATATATATAATTTTTATTTAGACAATATTGTAAAAATGGTATTTGTAGTTTGTCAATTTCTTTGAATAAGGTCCAAAAAAAGTTTATTAACAAAAAACGTCCTTATTTATTGATTTTGTTGTGGTTTTGGTCCCTACCTCGTTAAGTTTAACAGCATGGTTGTTAACTTTTGACAAATGATATATTTACCCATGAATCCATTTCTTCAGTTTTATCTTTTTTTACCAAACTACAATTACTAGTTATACAATTTTTCTTTTTCATTTTATTGAGTTACTGTATATTAGTTCTTTTAATTACTTTTTTTTAAAACTTTTTTCTTATTGTATTATTTTTTTATTGGATTATTATATATTAATAAATATTATTTTCAATATATTATATTTATATATTAATAAATATTACTTTATTTGATTATTAATTTTTTTAATTAATTTTTTTGAATTTCTTCGTAATCGCATTAATTATTTTTATTGGATTATTGTATATTAATAAATATTATTTTTAACATATACTATTTATCTATTAGTAAGTCTTACTTTATTGGATTATTAATTTCATTTAAATAATTATTTTATTTTTTTATTGTGTTAATTTTTTTCTTGGATTATTAATTTAAATTTATTTATTTTTATTTATAATAAATAATATATTTTTAATTGTTTTTTTTTTAATTTCTTTTTTATTGTTTTAAATAAAAATACCAAAAAATCTCACCTACCCCACCTTTCTTAATTTATTTTAAATATTTTGAAGATAATATATTTTGAACAACACCACCACCATCACTCGGCCACAACAACCCACTATGGGGCCATCTCCAATAGATAAATATTATATGTATATAATTTCAATAATTATTCATGAAGTGAGATCATCGCGTGTATTTTAGTTTTTGTGTATTCACATGTATCTAAATTTGTTATATATTTCAATAAATCTATTATTTTATCTTATGATTTTAACATATATAATTTACCTAAATATATTTCTACATGAATTATCAAATTCGAGTATTCGCTACTCGGCGGTCGACCAAACGGGTATCGAATAATGAGTTCTACAATGTTGTCACCGCCTGTAGTGACTATGGTGGTTTGAAAACTCCCGATCTAACATTGTCGTCATGGATGGTAGTATCTGTAATGAATGGTCAGCTGGAGGCTGTATGTTTTCTGGGGTTTATTGCACATTGTGTGGGTAGTCGTCTGGTTTAGTTTTCATCGAGAATGGTCGACTATAAGTTTTCATCGAGAATGGTCGACTATAATCGACGATCGACGATTTCCAGCGAGATGATACGATGACATAAGGTGGTAAAAGCAACGAATGGAGGACCTGACCACGAGTGTTTGGATCGGACCTCCTGGTGGTTGTAGCAGAATATGGTCAGATAGTGGCAGATATAGATGATTTTGACGGATATAATATAATATAATCAAATAATATGTATTAAGATATAAATATAATATAATATAATTTGTATTTATTAATATATAATAATCCAATAAAAAATGAATTAATCAAATTAAGATTTTTTTTTTAAAAAAAAAAGAAGAAATAGTTTAAACACTCCTGGCCAGCTCCTTCATTTGTTGCTTTTTACCACCTTACTTCGTCGTATCATCTCGCTGGAAATCATCGATCATCGACTACATCCAGCCATTGGCGATGAAAACTACACCAGTCGACTACCCACACAATGTGCAGTAAAACCCAAGAAAGCATACAACCTTCCGACGACCATTCATTATAAATACCGTCATCGATGACGACAATGTTAGATCGAGGGTTTTCAAACACTACAGGTGGTGGCAAGGTTGTAGAACTCGTTATCTTCCAAATATTTAAAATAAATTAGGAAATGTGGGGTGGGTGAGATTTTTTGGTAATTTTATTGAAAATAATAAAGAAAGAAATTAAAAGAAAATAAAAACAATTAAAAAATATTGTTTATTATAAATAAAAATAATAAATTTAAATTAATAATCCAATAAAAAGAATTAACGCAATAAAAAAATTTAAAAATTAATTAAATGAAATTAATAATCAAATAAAGTAACACTTACTAATAGATAAATATTATATGTTAAAAATAATATTTATTAATACATAATAATTTAATGAATAATAATTAGTGCAATAAAGAAGCAATTTATAAAAAATAATAAACAAATAAAGTAATATTTATAAATATATAAATATAATATTTTAAAACTAATATTTATTAGTATATAATAATCCAATAAAAAATAATACAATAAGAAAAAAAAAATTAAAGTAATTAAAAGAATTAATATATAATAATTCAATAAAATAAAAAAGAAAAAACTGCATAATTAATCCTTGTAGTTTGGTAAAAAGATAAAATTGCATAAATGGTTTCATAGGTTTATTTGTCAAAAGTTAACAGTCATGCTGTTTAACTTAACAAAATAAGGACTAAAACCACAACAAAACCACCAAATAAGAACCTTTTTTGCTAATAATTTTTTTTATGGACTTAACCCTAAAAAATTAACAAATCACAGGGCCATTTTTATAATTTTGTCTTTTATTTATTCTTTAATCATATAAACATATCAAATATTAAGATACCTCACCATTTAATAACATAATAAAATTAATAGTATTTTAATTCATTTCTCACAATTTAATATGTTACAAACATAATATAAGAAATAATATAAAACAATATTAAATTTCTCATATAAAAATTACTAATCAGTCTAATTTGCTAATAACTACTTATTTAATAGCTAAAAACTAGTCAATCCATACTCAAAGCACACCTACGGTATGGCCATTCACTTGAAGTTTTGCATGAGATTATTAGAAAATTTATTTTTTTGCACAAAACTACATTTGAGCATGCTCGGTTACGATATATCTTAGGTGCGGTTTGGAATTTGGACGAACACTATTCTTAGACAGGAACAAAACTGCAAATAACTTAGGGCGTTCTTCGTTTAATCCATTAAGCACTTCCAATATTTTATGACATGAGACATTAATTCAAACACTAGCTATTAGTTGTTTGTCCCCATGTTGAAAAATAAATAAATATTAAAATTTAAATTTAGAAAAAAAAAACATTTCAAGAACAACTCAACTGATATATCAATATTTTGTTCTTAGCATTTAAATGTTAATTCATTCAAAGTACTGAATCAACTCAAATATCATACCACATAATAAAAGGATATCTATATAAATCATACAAACTAAAAATGAAAAATAAAAATTTATAAATTTGAAAACTGCAGATGGACATGCCATTTGCGGTGGGCAAACTTCTGACGCACATTTCATATATGCAGCTTGTACGCCGCAGGTGGAAGCCTCATCATCGGTTTGTTTTGTTTTTTTTCGTTTTTCATAAAGAAAAGAAAACAAACTTATACCAAATACTATTAGATTTCAAGGTAAATAATACAAAACAATAAAAAAAAAACGAGGTTTAAAACAAAAATCCAATTTGTTGTACGGAGCCATTGTTGGAGAGAACTTTGTATGTTTCTATCATTCGAAAATGACCTAAATGATTTTTTTTTCAACTTTATATATTATTGATTAATGGCTCGTCAAACTACAGACGAGCTCTAAAATCAAAGCCTAGACGGCCAAAACCGTAGCTGAGTCCATCCATTCATCACTAACCGCATAGTGCCAAAAGAGGATGTAGCTTAACATGAGGTGTGGTTTGGGTGGCTATTTTTGAAGATTTTCCATATTTATATTGCTAAGTTTTAAGTTTTTAATTCTTTAGTTTAACTTTTTATTATGCAATTTTTATTTTGATTTAATGAAAAATTTAGTTTTAAAATGTTATTCGTAAAAATAAAATAAAAATTATTGTAACGACCCAAATTTTTAAAGAAATTTTTTCACATTTTTAAATTAATAAAACATAATTGTATAAACCATGAAATCCCAACATAATTGTTTTTAAATCAACGATTCGTTACAACTTATTCAAATTATCAGAGTGTCCCCAAACCCTAACAGTGAAAGAGAGAGAGATAGAGCACACGCTGCGTCATCATGCCTCTCCATTGCCCTTGGGCTCAGATGTACATGAAACAAATCAACAACCTATAAGCGAAATGTTTAGTGAGTTCCCCAGAGCATACCATACACTATACATACACATATCCTGTTAGCTAATTAAAGCTACACACATATCACATATGCCATGCATACATAAACCTGTAAGAATGCCATGGGCTAACCCACATGGTCTTTACCTAGGACTGCCATGGGCTACCCCATATGGTTTTTACCTAGGAAGGCCATGGGCTACCCCACATGGTCCTACAATCAATGCCACACGCTTCCCCCGGGGTCTTCCATGCCAAAACACACGATCACATGGCATATCAAATCACAAAATGATTAGCACATATATCATGATCACATAATGGGCCGACTTTGGTGCCCTTAGACCCATGGCTATGGTGAGAAGACTCACCTATGTCTACCGAATAGAAAAGCTACTCTCCTAACAGTCCGCAACCTCCCGTGCTGAACAATAATATTAGATAATGTTAGGACTTTGATTAACCAAAGGAAAACCCACTCATAACCCTTCCATAAGGTCCAATTATCCATCCCTTGCTAATAGGCCCAAAGTCCAAGTCTAAAATCCTTAATGGGCCTCTT